ACTTTACGTCAAGACTGCCTATCTTTATGGTAGTATTTAAGAAGAGGTGGACAAGTGTCAACCACCAGGTTACAAGGTTCGCGGACAAGAGGAAAAAGTTTGCCGTTTAGGTGAAGCATATATGGCCTGAAACAATCGGCAAGGTGCTAGCATCGGAAGCCGTTGGACGTTCTGCTGAAGATTGCATTTGTGTCATGTATCACTGATCCATGTCTTTATGTTGCAGTCAGGAATGCCGAAAGGGCATACTTGATCATCTACGTCGATGATTTGCTCGTCGGGTGTTCATCTGAGGAGGAGATTGCTCAAGTGTACAACGAGCTGCGCAAAGAGTTCGAGATCTGTTGGCTGGGTGATGCGAAATATTTTCTCGGCTTGGAGCTTCATAAGGGAGAAGTTGTCTACAGCATGAGCGTGAAGGCGTATAGAGAAGCTCATAGAGAAATTCGGACTCCAGGATGCGAAAATAGCGAAAACTCCGATGGATCAAGGCTACCGCAAGGAAAAGACGACAAGTGAGACTCTGAAGGATACGACCGCGTTCCGAAGTGTTGTCGGTGCTGTGGGATACATCTTCCTCACTGTATTTACAGAGCCAAACTCGTGACTTTGGCAACTGCGGCATCAAATGGAACCCATTACTCGGATGAGCTGAAAGCTGCTGTCAAAGCGCACAGTTCTGCAACTCACTCAGTCACGAAAGTCGCTCCAGAAGAGATGATGAATGGTCGAAAAATTCACCGTGGACTTCCACTTTTGATACGGGGAAAGGTGAGTAACTCACAACTGTTATGTTATTATTCAACCTAATCAAACAAGGCATGTCTTGAGCCTTCTATTCAGAGTCATGATAATTCTGAAGTTATTTTAATGGAGTATTGAAAGTAACTCATTTTGTTTTGTAAATTAGTGGTGATCTTGATACTGTACACATGTGTCCATAGACATTGGAGTCATACAAAACAAGGACGCTGCTTATTTGTTTCATAGCACCTGTAGCCATGATCCATTGAGCTTTGTGCAAGAAAAGGGCAAAGGAGAATAGCCTGATTTTTATTGCCTTTCTATGTTTTTTTCTCTAGGTAAAGGTTGATGATGAATTGATCGACCAACGGAATCAAGAAGCTAAGTTGGATGGCAAGACGCATGAAGATGCTCGCCGGGGTGCCCATAAGTGTCAAGTCTTACCGGGAGATCACGTTATCATTGTGAGACAATCTCGCACAAAGGTGATAGTAGATTTGATCCGAAGAAATTTACTGTTTTGGAACAGTCCAAGGGAAATCTTCTACTCTCTGATGATGACGGTCAAGTCCTGACGCGGCATGTGTCTCAAACCAAGACAGTTCAAGATTGGAGAGCTCCAACTACAGTAACAAGGCCAATTTCAGTGGAACCCAAGATCCACCAACCGAGGGAGAGAAAAGCCCCTTCTCAAGGATTATGTTACACGCTATTTTAAAACTACCCAAATTTGGGTAGAATCCACCCAGATCTGTCAAAACTGAACCTACCCAAAAATGGGTAAACTATGTTGGGAGTGACAAGTTGACAAATTAACAACGTCGATCGGATTCATGTCGATGTTGTTCATTTGTCAACTTGTAACTCCCAATACAGTTTACCCATTTTTGGGTAGGTTCAGTTTTGACCGATCTGGGTGGATTCTACCCAAATTTGGGTAGTTTTAAAATAGCGTGTAGACTAGTAGAGCAGGAGAAGGCGGCAGTGCGCGCATCTACTGACCCAAATCATCACAACAGTACCTAGTTTGAACTAAACAGATAACTGTCAATAAAGGATTGCGAACATAGACTTCTATATCATCCCACTTTATTTAGACGTCTCCGAAAACTATCTGAAGTGAGCGAGTTCAATTTTTTTAGAGAAGGAGTGGGATGTGGGATACGCGTTGCAACATACCCCTCGGCTAACTGTCAATTGACGTTGAAGCGGCCAAAATAAGTAGAGCGTTTGCAAACACTGCACTCGGCTGATGTGAGCAATCAGCATCGTCCTCTCTCTTCTGCACGCCGCTAATCAGGTAAGTTGTACTTAGTGTAAAGCTTCGTGAGCCTCCTGCTATTTGCCGGGCAAGTAATGCAGGACAATCGCCCGGACCTAACTATGGGGGCATTTGGACAAACCTCACAGGTGCAGTGATTTACATAGCAGTTACAGCACGCGCCCGATATTGCAACGGCTGCCTCTAAATTGGGGAGAAAATTTAGAGCTCCGACTGAAATCGATGCATCTTAAGGGATCCACAGACTGGAAGCTGAAGCTGGGTGACGAAAGCGACAAAGATTTGGAGGCATATTCATATTCTGGCTGGGCTGGTGACCCGGATACACGTAAGTCAACGACTGGTTTTGTAGTATCGAGCTATTGTTCATTTTTTCCCTCATTTTACCGGTTTTTTTTCCGCAGTCTGATGCAATTCCACACATACTCTTTAATGAGCTAGCCTGGTTGCCGTGGTTGAATGGTTAATTTTTCACCTGTCACGTTTGAAAACAATTTAATAAATCATAGCCATCTGCAACTTTGCCATACAAATGGTAAGCGTCGAATGTCAAAGATTGTTGTGCCCAACGCTTTACGGTGTAATAAAGTTGGTATCAGGTTGCCGAACCCTGTTAGTTGACAGATGCGAGTAGCGCTTGCACCAACACAAGCGCGCACTATAGTATACACACTTAATCTAGATCGGTAAAATCTCCAACAGCCATTACTTCGGCATTCACTTTTGCTGATATCTCTGCAAAATATCTGTTTGTTAGCTGATATCTCAGCAAAATTTTATTTGTTAGCATAGTCTCGGCAATTGTTTGACTGAATCTCAGCAAAATAAATTGCAGAATTACTCGGCTGTTGGAATCTCGGCGAAAAAATTTAAGTGTTTAGGAGTAGAAAAATCGAGTTGGATCATAGCACAACCTTTTTAGGCTCTGAACCATTTGGTGGATTATTTTAACTTTTGGTTAAAATTTGACAGATGAAAAGTTATCGATTAACCCTGCTATCCGAGCATGGTTATTTCTGACAGACAAGAAGTTAAATTTTGACAACCATGGCTCGAAAACCGGTCGATCGACAGCACGGGGATTTTCGAACATAGAAAATAACTTTCGAAATGTCACTTTTAACCACGAGTTAAATTTAACTTGGCAAATGGTTCACAGCCTTAGAGTAGTTAGTCGCAGTTTTGATCGTCACGTTGCATGGAATAAAAGCATTGCATGGAACATGAAATGTTTCTGTTAGTGGAAGAAATCAAAAATTCGGTTGGTTTTTGAAACGTGCGTGGATCCGGAAAAAACATTAAAACACAACGTAGGGCCTGGTCACCGCTCGACGGAACAAAGATGAATCACCCCTCGGCGAAATTATGGAGAGCGTAAAGGCCCAAGCGCAATGTGGGCGGAAGCGGAACGGAAACGGAAAGTTTGACAGTTGTCACAAATGGCATCAAGAAGCCTAACCGAAGTCGATTTGATTCTAACTAGTTTTCAATCCTACAAGTAGGCTTGTTCAGATCGGGCTTTTCCGCTGCCGCTGCCGTCCCGCTTCCGCTATCATTGCGCTTGGGCCTTTAAGAAGTGGGACAACTTCGGGAAAGTATGGAGCCCAAAATTGGAAAGATGTTCAGGTGGCGCTTCTTAACATGGCGATTAACAGTGCCTAGTATGAAGAGACGGGAGTTAGTCCTCGTTTTGCCAACTTCGAGAAGACTTCGCACTTGTGATAAAACGCGTGGATAGGGAAATGAACTTAATGGTGCGGCGCTGCTGCAATCAGCGGTGAGATACTCCGACAAAAGTTTCTCGCTACCTTTTGGAACACAATCATTGATCGTGCTTGTTGCCAACGATGCCATGTATCCTGATTTGTGTACATGAAAAATGTTGGGACCCCCTTGTTTACCCCCTTTACCCCCTTGGAACAAGTTTGTTAGCTCAAGAAATAGTTAATTTTTGGAACAATTTTTTGAGGTAACAAATGGTATCGAAATAAACAAGGGGTCCCAACTTTTTTCGTGTACACAAATAAGGAAAAATGGCATCACTGCTTGTCACAGACAGTGGTTCGGTAGTTACACACTAAATCTAGCTCGGCTAAAACCAGCACCGTCGATTAGCTCGGTGTTTTGTTCTGAGATGTTAGCAAAATTTCTGTTTGCTAGCCGAAATCTCAGGATAATTCTCGATTGTTAGCAGAATCTATCAATGTTTTTCACTGAGATTCAGCATCCGTTTTGAATCTTTTTCGGGATGGCTGTGTCACTTTGACAGATTTCCTGCGCTCCAACCTCGCAACCTCGAATCCCTCCTGTTCTTCTCTTAGCTGTTACAACATTCATATTCAGTAGGGTGAGTTCAGCCTGTGTTGGGTGTTACTTTGCATTGAGACGGAAATGTTAGCCTGGTTTACTACTTACTTACGTTTTTGTTTGTTTTGCCACACGACGCACAATCAACTCATTGTCTCCTGTTATTTATATTCTTCTGCTTATTTACGTGTGTGCTTGCGTGTGTATGTGTGTATTTGGTATAAAAAATAACTCAATATGCTTTGCATTCCACATTTGTAAACTATTTGCCCCTAACCTGGTATCTGCTATATCTCGAACAATATATTTTTAGATTCACTGTTGTTTATTTTTCGTCTATTTTCTGATGGGTTGGATTACTTGAGTGTTTGCAACATCATCGGTTTACTTGGATTTCGCCGAATGTCAACGAAACGACACGGCGGCGCGCGGTTCGCTATAAACAACACATCATCGATTTTTTGTTTCATGGCTCCAAATTGTCCTGTCATTGGTGTTTGTTTTTTTTTCAAAGATTTTCAACACGAGCTTCCAATTACGATTTAAACGTGGCTACACTCCATTCATTTCCTAAAAAGAGAATTACTCGAGTGCGTTTTATGTTTGTTTGTTTGGTTTGTGTGTTAGTTATTGCTTTCTTTTCCATAGCATTTTCCGTACATTCGTTTTGTTGTTGTTGTTGTTGTTATGTTTTCGTTCGAATTGATGTTCTTTTTTTTACAGTGCCTTTCTCCATGACGACGATACGAATTGTTTTTTGTTTTGATTTTCCGATTTTCACTCTTCTTAATTTTTTCCCCCATTTTTCTTATTCTTTAGCTACGGCTTTAAGGTATGATTTTTGCTTTACTTTTACTTTCAATAACAACAATAGAATTAGCGTTTTGTTTTTAATATCAATATTTTTTTTTGTCACTGCCACTTTGTTTTATTAAAATTTGATAACAAATAATGCTATTTTTACATGCTGTGCTGCCGTTTCCGTGGTTCTTTTGTTCCACGCTTCTGAAGTATATAAACTAGGCTGTTTGTTTTGGCATTTTTTCATGTCTCAAATTTACACACTTATGTCTTGTGTTCTTTTTTTTTTGGTTTTGGTTGTTAGTGCTCAGTTGTTTTGTTTTGCTGTCCTTGTCGTCGAAAATTGTAAATAAAGATCTGTCATCCGCTCACGTCTCTCTGTAAATAACTAGAATTTTCCGTAGCTTCGAAAACTGTAAACTGTGTGCAAGTTTTGGTTTTGTGTGAATGTTAAGTTTTCATTGTGTGCAATTTTTTATGTTTTTCAATGTAATTTGACGGTTGCAGTTTCAAAATGTGATTGATAGTTTAGTTTTGAGGGGGAATGTTTACGTTTTTTTTCTTTTTATTTCTGTTTTTACAAATCATCTCCGACGTATGTTTTTCGATGTTTTTCTCCATCCTATCAAACCTTCTTTTGCCAAGCAAAGAACCAAATATTTAGTTTAACTTTTTTTTTACTGATTGCGCTGCACGCGTTAATTGTTTACGTTTTAAACTTTGAGTTCACGTGTCAGATTGCATAAATGCTAGAGCAGTAACTATTCTTTCTCACATTTTTTTTTCCTTATTCCGATAAAGTACTTGATTAGAAGAAGCGGTTCTTAGATAAGTGTTACTTGATTTTAAAGGTTGATAAATGCTATTCGATTGTTTTCAAGTTGTCAATTTCTTACAAATTGTTCACTTTCCATGCTGTAGCAATAAGTCACTTAAAAGCTTAAACCTAGAACAGTCAAAAGATTGAAAAATTGTCACTCTTTTAATGTTTGCTTCTCGCGGCTGGCTATTTTTGTACGGATTCAGCTCTTGTCGTAGAAAATAAAACCATAGACGACGCCGGAAGCGTCAAAATTGAACCGAATCAAATAGGCGATTGTTGCAGATTGTTTCAGTTAGCAATTGGCGAACGGAAAAATATCTAATCCCACAGTTATGGCGCATTTCGCTTCGCTTTTTAGATGCCCGCACGAAAAATGATTTGGCGGATTTTTTTCACGTGTGCCACAGATTCCCTGTGATCCACATAAAATAAAATCTCCCGCAGGAATCGTACAAATCGCACAAACAGCAATAGGCGCTCAGCTTACCTTCTCTCACTCGACTACTGCCCTCTCTTTCTCCCACTTTTTGACACACATGTCTCACACTCTCATCTACTAGTAGGCGTTGCTGGACGTCCGCTGGAGTTCGATATTGTGCTGCTCGTCGTATTGGTACGAGCGTTGCGGGGCTTCGCGCGGGTCATCTTTCGGTTAATCGCCACCTAAACTGAGCGCCTGGACGATGCGAGGGTCGGCCTTGCTGCCCTCGCGGAACTCCTCCAGCGTCAACCGGTCGTCGTGGTTTTTGTCCATCTGGTCGAAGATCTTGTCCACCCGCTTCTGAGGCGTGTTCTCGTCCTCTGACTGTGGCTGCTGACCCTGTGGGGGGTGTTGATGGAAGGGAAAAAGGTCGATTAGTGAAAATTGTATCTAGATTTTAGTACTTCGTAAGTTCAAATATGTATTGCTGATTGCATCTGAAACTGGATTGCCCCAAAAATACACAAAGTTTGATAAAAGTGCTCGTTTTCGTCAAATCGTTTTAGTGTCTGTTGGAGCACTTATTGCCTGCACCCGCCAAGACACCAATTCGATTAGAGAAAAGATCGAAGTGTGCCCTGCTTCTAAACGGACGCGAAAAAAATTCTGCTGTCAAAATGCTCGTCTGTTATTTTTTTCGTCGCGGTTTACCAAGTTTTATCAGAAGATGTTTTGCAAATCGATAAGTTTATTGAAGAAAAGTTCGCGGGTACAAGTTTTTGTAGCCGAAAGAAGGCTATAAGGTGATCCAAGAGCCGTTTCTCAGTGGAACTGACAGCTAGAAATCTACAGTGTGTGAGTGATCTGAAGTTAATGGTGCTGAATGTAAACATAAACAAAGCAGAAATTCATATGAGGATAAACTGCCAGTTCTACTGTGATCTGTCAAAAGTTCTTAGTAAACAATAAAGTCAGCTGATCGCAGCTGTCTCGTACACGTCCTGTCCATGGACAGCCTTATTTCCAAGTACGTTTAAGAACGGTATTCGGCTCGTGTAATTTAGTCAAGGGGTGAGACAGGTTTAAACTGCGTTCCTTTTTTGCAGCGAGAAACTCGCGAGTAACTCAATGTCCCTCAATATTTTCTCTGCCTACTCCGTTTACTCTTTTTAAACATATACGTCTCATATTAGACGTCAGTTTTGTTAGTAAAAAAGTAATCCCAAGTGTATTCTGGGCCTTTCGAATAACTGGAATATTATGGAAAAACCTGTGCCGGTGCCTGCTTACTACCAATAACAACCTACACTTCCAACCAGCTTTAAATGTTGTTTTTAATCCTCAGCAACCAGTCCCAGTATTTACTTCGAAAGGATCATCGCTGATCAAAAAAGCTCTCCAATATTCTTCCAAACATCTGAAATGCCACCTATAATTCAGCGATCCCATCATCTTAGATGTCTCCAGTTGTAAAAGCAGTCCTATTGGAAAAGGCATCACCAGTCAATGTGGTAATAACTAACTCCGATCCCCTTTCGAACAGCGCAAACATAGAGTAGTGAGTAATATTTCAACCATGGCCCCTCCAACGGCACCCGCCGCCACAGTTTCCGGTAAAGAAAATATCTTCCGGTGGGGTAACAACCGATTCCAGCCCCGAAGGCAACGCTACAAACCATTACCCCGTGGAATGTTCAGCCAGAGCATCAGTGCAGCCGCTGCCACTGCCCTAGCTGAAGAGGAGGATGACGATGAAGTAGTTGCTGTTTCCGGTGAGTGCGATCCCCGTTTGAACTTCAAACCCATTAACGATCTACCGGACGAAACCGAAGTGAAAACCCGTCAGGAAGACGAAGCACAAATCAAGCTGACGGATTCTCTTCGTCGACTTTCGCCTGGAGAATTCGGTCGACGGCCGCAGCAAAATCTCGGTGGTGTATGTACATTTATGTAACTCGGAGCGTTTGGTATGGTATGTCCACGCATCCTTCCATCCCTGTGGAGCTTGAGCTTGCTTGAGCTTGAGCTTGATTGACCGCCCACGGTTGCTACTCTGCTACTGCCAGATCAGCTGTAATTACACAGAGACCCAAAAGACGATGCTTGGGACAAGCAATCATCCTCAATGTGTAAAAACTGGTGATCTTAAATTTGGCAATACCAGCGCCGGCCGCGCCCGAACACAGATCAAGAAAAGAATGGGAAGGATTGTGTTGACATGACACTCGCTTTGATGGAAGCCGAGAACACCTCTGCACTTCCACGAGGAATCACTGGGATGTTGGATAAGAGGGTTGGGTTTGCAGCAGGGTTCGTTTTGGTAAACGATAAGCTGAATTGATGTCCTAACGATCATATAACGTGAAGGAGCTTGGGGCTAAACCCACGGTCTTCTGCTCAGTAAGCAAAAACGTTTGCCACTAGACAGACGAGCACCTTTTTAATCACCGAGTTGCTGTTATTACCATGTAGTCATATTAACAAATAAAACGATTGGCGAATCTTGAATGTGGATGGGCCTGAGATTAGACTCATGGTGTTCTGCTCAGTAAGCAAAAACGGTTGCTCTAAGGCCACCGAGCCCCTCATATCACATAATACCGTTGCTCAAATTTGTGTATCCATTCAAACCCGGAACCAACGACAACAACGAGTTTCGCAAAATACACGATACACAAGCGATTTTACCATAAATCTCTTTGATATGTAAGGACCTGGGACAGCGTTTTTCTGCTCAGTAAGCAGGCCACTGTAACCGACGATCTTTCAAATCCGAAAACTAAAAACTACGAAAAAGTACTTAGGCGTTCATTAAGTTCCACTTTCACGCGACGTTCAATGACAGGGTCCTATCCAGGATTACATCTGAAAAATCCAAATCTGGCCAACGCCCACCTAAACCTGTTCTAATCCACCTGAAATGACTAACGAATGGAAGACTTTAACTACCCAGCCATGCAATATGGCAACTTGATGATTCTATTGCGCTCATCTTTTGGCACCACCCAGGGGAGACTTGGTCCTGTACCCAATGCTTAACTTATCTCCATTCCACTCAGCTACTCGCAATTTCTTGTGATATAGTGGGCGGAATATTATTATATGAAACAATTCAATGCAGACGTCTTTCCAAATTTGGCAGATCGACAGGTAATCGGTGAGCTACCACTATAGTTGCTATTCAACAACTCGACAACGTCCCATCGTCAACGCCTGCTATGAGAATTTCCCATTGCAGACGTCAACGAAATGGCGTCATCGAGCTATCGATCAACTACCCTGGTTATCGCCTGGTACCTTATAGCACGATGCTAGGAGGCGAACCGGAAGAATCGATGAGCTACCTCTCCCCCTGTCCACGCATCCTTCCATCCCTGTGGATTCAAGAAATGCTTTGTTGTTTAAATATTTGTATTTGAATACGAATCATTTCAAAGAATCACCCTGGGCATCGGCATAACCTTGGGGAAGTAAAGCCGTTGGTCCCGGCCCATGTGTGTTTGAATGGGAGCGATATCCTACGCAGGTGGGGAAGCTGCCTTTCTGCACATTCGATTACCGCCAATGGATGGCAATCGATGTCCGTCGGTGACTGGCACTAGATTGCGGAACAGAGTCCGACGTTAAAAAAAAGGAACGAGAATGAAGAACTCATAGGTAGGCTTTTTTCAACTGTTTTCAAGTTGGTGTAGAGATAAGTTAAAGTTCAGTAAAAGTTTAGTTAAAGTTAAAGAAACGTTAAGTTAATTAGTTAAAGTAACGTTAAAGTTTGGTAAAAGATAAATAGAGTTTAAATAAAGTGTTGAAGCTAAGCTAAAGTTAACATAAAGTTAGGTGATAGTTTAGTTGATGTTTAAATGAAGCCGGATTCAAACAGCGAGTCTGAAGCCGGATCACTACAGGGAATCCGAAGATGGGAAGCCGGATCCCTATAAATTAGGTTAAATTTAAGTTAAAGTTAAGTTAAAATTAAGTTAAAGTTAAGTTAAAGTTAAGTTAAAGTTAAGTTAAAGTTAAGTTAAAGTTAAGTTAAAGTTAAGTTAAAGTTAAGTTAAAGTTAAGTTAAAGATAAGTTAAAGTTAAGTTAAAGTTTAGTTAAAGTTTAGTGAAGGTTTAGTAGAAGTTAAGTTAAAGTTATGATAAAGTTAAATTAATATGTTTTAAAGTTCAGTAAAAGATAAGTTGAAGTTACGTAAAACTGAAAGTTATGTTAAGTTAATAAGATAAAGTTTAGTCAAAGGCAACCTCGGAGTAGTGGTTAACATCCATACCTCTCACGCCAGTCACGAGTTCAAATCTCACCCCCGGACAAGTCACATAACCCAAGACTATAGACTATAATAAAAAAATGAAAGATTACTTGAAGTACAGTTAAAGTTGATCTAATGTTAAGTTAAAATTAAGTTAAAGTTAAGTAAAAGTTAAGTTAAATAAATTAAATAGTAAAAGTGTAGTAAAGATTATGTTATAGCTTTATTAAAGATAAAATCACGTTAAGTTTATTATGTTGTTCAAGTTTAGTTAAAGTGTAGTTAAAGCTAATGATATGTTAAAGTTATGATATTGTTAAATTAAAATTGTGTTAAAGATAAGTTATACTTTAAGTTATATTAAGGAAATAAAATAAAGTTTAGTTAAAGTTAAGTTAAAGATATGTTAACGTTAAGTTAATGTGCAGTAAAAGTTTTGTTAACGTTATTTCCAGAGGACTTCAGGGAAACTTCTTGGAAGTTCATACATCTTATTGCATTTTTTGAAAGTATTTGGATGTTCTTGGAACTTCTTGAAACTTAGTTAATGTTATGTTTAGTTAAAGTTACAGCTATGTTAATTAGTTATAGATAGAATCATGTTCAATTAAAATTGGGTCAACGTTTGGTTAAAGTTCAGTGAAGGTTGAGTTAAAGTTTGGTTAAAGTTAAGTTAATGTTAAGTCAATGATATTTTTAAGTTAAGTTAACGTTATGTCAAAATTTTGTTAAAGCTTTGAAAAAGTTAATTACAAGTTAAGTAAGGTTAATAAGTTAAAGTTAAGCAAAATTAAGCAAAAGTTTAGTTTAAGATAAACTCAAGTTAAGTAAAAAATAGGTTTAATTTTTTTCCTTGATTTGTTTTCCGTCGATCTTGTTTGTACCGAGTACCAATGCTACCGACGCCAGGGAGGCAGCTCTCACACCTGGACCTGGCACGACCCATCATGGATCGATCCATCATGGACCGGGGACCAACGGCTTTTCTTTCGGCGTGATCAGAGATTTTATACCTTGGAAAATCCCGGCGGGGCCGACTGGGATTGAACCCAGGCCTTTTGGGATGAGAGGCAATTTAAAATAAGTCTTTGTTAAGTTAAAGTTTAGTGTAAGTTTAGTCAAAGTTAAATTTAAGATATGTTAAATATTTGTTAAAGCTAAAATAAATTTAAGATAACGTTTAGTGTAAGTTATGTTAAATTTATTTCCAGGGAACTTCAGGGAAGCTTCAGTTCATGGAACTTCTTGGAAGTTGTTGAAAGCTTTTGGAATGTATTGAATGTTCTTGGTCCTCTTTAGAAGTTCTTGAAACTTCTTGGAAGTTCTTGGAAGTTTTTGGATCTTCTTAAAATTTCTGAGAGTGTCAAGAAATTTATCTACACTTTACTTGGAAGTTCTTGATATGTTAAAATTGAGTCAAAATTAAATTAAAGTTATGCTAACTTAAGTTGAAGTTGAAGCAAAATTAAATTTATATATTAAAGATCAGTTAAAATTAAGTTCATGTTTGGCTAAAGACCATATTCATCAATTGCGTCTGCAGGGGCCAACTGGCAAATTGGTGCTGTGCATTTCTGGAGAGTGGTTGGACTAAGCTTCCCAGTTGCATCCGCTCGGCATTGGCAGCTTGAAAAATTATCCACAATGCGCAAGAATAGGTCTCGACTGATCCGGAACCGTCTTAGAAATTGGTCGTTTTTGATTATCCGAGAAATAATCCGACACCAGACGTTCAGCTCCTTTCTGCGCCGATCTATCAGTGTTGGATCGCCTCCCGGCACGTCTGTTTCTTTCTTGTGTACGTGTCGTTTCTGCTACGATAGCCTGTATCTGGAATAACATCCTGCTTACCAAGTTCAGATCGTCGTCACTGGAATCCGAAAACACACAACGAATAGTTCGAAGTAGAGAGGGTCTAGTATAAGATAGGAGCGGACTGGCTGGTTTTGAGCCAAACGAACTGTCAAAGCCAGATCCAATCGAGCAGTGCCTATCTTGATTGCATTGGCAGTGTTGCCAAGACAGTTTGTTTTGAATCCGCTCCTCTCTTATACTAGACCCTTTCTAGTTCGAAGAAAAGTTGTCCATTTTATTTTTTTGTAAAAATCGAAAACTGATGCCGTACAGATAGTATTGAGGGTAGTCTACCCTAACCACACTAACCAGTACTGCCACAAACTGATGGTCATAGGAACTACTGGACGTTCGGAAACGCTAGCACTCGGTTATGCTGAGATCATGATGGTTTACAGGAACTAGGAATTATGTTAATCTTTTGTTCGTTTATTGCGTTAATAAATCAAATGTTGAATCTCGCGGCAGCATCCAATCGAATCACTTCTCCATTGAGCATGGGGTTTTCCACAATCGCTTGTACCAATTGGGCAAACTCCGCGGGTTGACCCGGCCGCTTTGGAAACGGAATGGTATTGATGACAAATTTCGTCACCTCCTTCGGTAGTTCGTCGGTCATTTTGGTTTTGAACAAACCGGGAGCGATCGTAACCACTCGGATGCCTTGGCTGCTCAAATCCCGAGCAATCGGTAGGGTCATTCCGATGATGGCAGCCTTCGATGCCCCGTATGCCGTCAGTCCCGTCTGGGCATCGTAGCCCAGTACGGAAGCCGTGTTGACGATCACTCCTCGTTGTCCGTTGCCGTCCGGGTCATTTTGACCAATGACGCCGGCAGCTAGGCGAATCACGTTGAATGTTCCGACTGTGTTGACGTTCAGAATTCGCTGAAACGAGCTAAGACTATGGGGTTTGCCTTTCTTGAAGTCGTAGACCTTCTCGGGGAATGCAATCCCTGCGCAGTTAACGACGACGTCTAACCGATCAAAACGGTCCTTGGTTAAATCGAGGACGTTGGTCACATCTTGCTCCGATGAGACCTAAAAGCATCGAATTCCTACTTGGATTGCAGAATTGGTCAGATGGTCAATAATGGCTACTCACATCCGTCGGCACGAATATCACATTCTTTCCCAGTTCCGCAGCGATCTTCTCTCCATTGGACGACGGCAGATCTGCAAGGACCACCCGACAACCGGCCCGGACAAATCGTTCAACGGTGGCAAATCCCAGCCCGGATGCACCGCCCGTTATCAGATAAACGGCATTCTGCAGTAGCGATTAGAATTGGCCGTAAGATAAACAATAATTACGATGAAATAATTGCAACCAAACCTTCAACATGCTTCCAAAGTGACTGCTGGAACAATACTAAGCTGTTTGTGTTATCGCTGGGTGGCGGCGGCGGCGAGATAACCGCCAGTCGAAATAAAATAAGTGCGTTATCTTGACATTTTGCATTGAATGGTACTGGATTTGATGATTACACAAGTGTTCAGAGCAGTACAATACTACGGCGGTCGGAGTGTGGGAATTGAAAAGATGTGTAAGTCCAAAGTTTATGTGTGTTTTATTTTGGTGAGTTATTTTTAAGCCACTAAGTGGGCCAGGAATTAAACCAAGCAGGAGAAGAATATCAACGCTCTGGGATTGCATCCAATTGAGTTGACGTCTCCAGTGAAGTTTCTTGGATTAATTAGGGCTGGAAAAAATAGTTCAAGTTTTGGCCGCAAAGATGGCGCAGCGATAAAAACTTTTTTATTTTGCAAGATATTTAGTGGTTTGAGGAGAGCACCCGTTGTAGAACGTAGAATTTTATGAAAAGTTGCCCAACGCATAAAAGCTGTACCGCTGGACTGCGCTTGGAAGCGCACTCGAACTCTGACGACATTGTTTTGGAACCAGTAGCACCGAACGCAGATGTGTTTATTGCCGATGAAGTTGAGGAAATCTCTTGGCTATCGGCTGATGTTCGTGGTTCCCATACATGTTCTTGTCGTCTAATGTCAGTGATAGGATCTACCAGTGGTGTTGATTGTGTTGATGGTTCACCAAGCGTAGACTCGCTCTGTGATGGTGTAGCAGGTGCAGGACTGACACATGGCGATGCTTGACTTTCAGGAAGTTGAAGGTTCTATTCTCCCATAGAACGTCCAGAGGAAGTAGTTTTCCGCCAGACTTCGTTGGATGCACCATCGACAGACTAGCGGTACTGATGGTTGTTGATTGGTTTCGTAATTGGTTTATATGGGACCGTAACAGTCGTCGTGTCCTCAGCGCAAACGTTGTACATGGTGCCTCCAATCCGTTCTAGCCCCACAGCTGAAGCCCATCTCCAAGTTTGAGTGGACTTGAGCGTACACCTGATCTCCCTTATTGAACGATCGTAGCTTGCCTTGATCGTTGTTTTCTTCTACTCGAACAGCTGGGGGACGCAACAGTTCCAGACACGTCCGAATTGGCTGTCCGAAGATGAATTTCACTTGCGCCTTTCCATTGGAAGCTGAGAGGTTCGTTGTGGTACGATAGGTTAGCAGAAAGGGATCGAGAGCAACCTGTATGTCTCCTAACCCCTCTCTAATTTTCCGGATTGCGCTCTTGAACGTATCTACGAAGCGTTCGGCCTGCCCGCCGCCGTGGTGACATGGTCGATGCAAAAGCTAGCGAACTCGGCGCTCGTGAACTGAACACCGTTGTCAATAACCAAGGTGATAGGCATTCCGAAACGTGCGAGAATACTCCGGAGGATGTCAATTGTGGCCGATGTGGTGATGCTTTTGGTTCTTACGATATTGACACTTTGAGAAGGAGTCGGCGACTACTGTGTTACCTGACTTATAATGAATATACGTTCTATACGAGTACCCCGAATACAACGTATGATTCGTCTTATTTTGCATAGCATTTGCAATGTAAAATTATACGAACTATACGTTGTGTTCGGGGTACTCGTATAGAACGTATATTCGTTATAAGTCAAGTAACACAGTAGTAGGAAGTGTTCAACTTTGAGTGGCCCAGCGTAGTCGATGTGTACGCATTTCCACGGTTAATTTGACTAGGGCCACGGTTGGGGTCGTGCTCTTGGAGGACTTTTCGCAACGGAGGCGCACAGATGGCAATTCTTGACAAACGCGTCGATTGAAGGCCAATAGATATAGCTACCAGCTACTGCTTTCATACGTTGAACGTCCCGAAATTGTGTCGGTACGACAAGACGCTCTGCAAACATCACACAGCCTTGGACAACCGACAACGAGTCTTGACGGTCATAGAACTTCTGAACTTCTCGATCGGTAATGCCAGACCTGGCTTTCGGCTGCACGAACCGGTAGACCTTGGTAAGTACCGGATCTGGTATCTGGGTGGCTCGCTGTACTGTTATAAAACTGAGATGAACGAATCTGATAGTACTGGACGCTAATGAGCTCAAAACTTCCTCGAGGATGACACGGGCCACGATGAATCGGGAAAGAACGTCCGCGTTCCCGAACTTCTCTGTGCTGACGTACTCGATCTTGAAGTCGTAGAGCAACAGCTGCAATGCCCACCACTGCAGCCGATTCTCCGTGTAGATGGGTATTCCTGTTTTTGACCCAAAGATGCGGAGAAGAGGAGCATGATCCGTTTGAAGAAGAATGCTGCGGCCGTACAAGATCTTGTGGTGCTTGGTGACTGCGTACACAATGGCGAGACCTTCACGGTCCAGTTGGCCGTGCTCTTGCACGAGAAGCATGCTGCAAGACCTTGACGGATCCATCAGGCATCTGTAAGTCTAAGCCACCTCAATCAGGAGCACTTCTGAGACTCCCTGACTCCAATGGCCTCAGGGTCGGCACGCTTACCGATTGCAATTACGCGGGGCAGAAAATGATCGCACGTGACACATAGAAAAAACTCCACAAGCACTTCACTACTCAACTTTAAAAATTTATTTCACTTTCCTGACAACTTACAATCTATCTGACCTGTTGTCTTCTTCGGGGCCCCTCGCAGCACCTCCACTACGTGTCTTCGATCACCGACCGCTTGTCCTCGGTCGACGTTCGCTTCCTCTCCACTTTCTCGTCGTGTACCTCCTTCGCACGTTTGCTGTACGGGGTGGCGATAATGAGCACCGGGTTACACGTCCTGGGCCTACGAGTTGGTGATGTACTCTGGCCGGCAGACAGCGACAGTGTAACCTTCCGGTACGTCCACCGGAACTTCACTGTGTACAGGCGATCTGTACTAAATGCAGCGGGGTCCTGCTGTCTTTGACTCTCTCCTCACACTTTTCACTGTTTCTACTAATAATTTATGCTTTCATGTTGGTTCGCTATTCAAATTAAATTTTGTTCAACCGTTTTCGCTGGTGATCTTACGATCAGTCAGTATTAATTTGAAAGTTGAGTGAGCCATTGGGTCACTGCTCCAGGCCATTCGTCGTTCATCGCCAGTTTGTCGTGCCCGTTATCCTCCATTCAAAATGGCCATCAGTATCGCCACCCCTAGTGGCCTCCCAACAGGCAGTTGTTCGTCCATCTGGTGGCGGGTTTTGCAACTTTCGGTGGGGTGGATTGTCATATCTTTGCCTACTATGGAGTTTGACAACGGAGAAAACTGCACAACAATCACGAACACTACCACTACAATTCAACGGAACTGAACACCACGATAATCTAAAAAATCCTCGAAACAAAGACGCTAGCACTTACAAATCTTGTGGCTCAGCGTAGCTCTAAAAATAATCGGTAGGTCTGGATTGTTGTGTTTGAAATTGTTGAAGGAATTTTGGTATTCCGACGACAATCTTCTTACCGGCCTTCAACAGTTCGTCGAGAGGATATCGCAAATTTCGCATTCCTGAGACAAATTTTCCTTAATAATTTATCGCCCCAAGGAACAAGCGAACGCCGGAAACATTTGTAGGTGCTAGCAAGTCCCGAATCGCTTGGATTTTTGTTGTATGAGACGTCCGAGGTACTTAATCTGCCGTTGATGCTTTGATGGTGAGGCCATATTCTTGGATGCGCTGTAGAACCATAGAGGTAACTCTAAGACCACTGGGTCCCGAAGAAAATCATTATTATTTTTGGCTCACTCAGTACCAGAACAACGGTCCCAAGCAGTCCCAAGCTATTTCACTCACCCCTGCATGTTCTGCATGAATCCACACACCCCTGATGTTATCTGTCAAACTTTCATAGCGAATCAAAACAAACATAGTGTAGTAATAGAATTTCAACTAGAATAGGGTACGTTAATCGTTTGCTTGGGACCAATAGGCTACTAAAGTGGTGAGCCAATTTAAAATCGTTAGTTTCGTATTGATTGTTGGTAGAACTGCTTGCAAGTTTCGTTGGTGGTATTACGTCATCGATGTAACCTGAGGTACGTTTGAGCCCGATGAGCATGCTATCCACTAGTTCAGTGCCAACATTTCAAAGGGGCGTAATGGCATTTGTAAACAATGGCTTTAGCCGTCGATTTCTTGCGAATAAAAGCTCACTCATGAAATATAATTACGCCAGCAGGTAGAGGAATGTTTCCTCTACCAGCTAGCATTGTTATTTTGGAGAGGTAAGATTTCATTTGCGAGAAATTGACGGCTAAAGTCATTGTTTACAAAACAATTACGCCCCTTTGGCACTGAGTTGTTGAAAGGCTCCAGGTGCTGCTTTGACTCCCGGTGGCAATCGGTTGTACCGCTACAGGCCCCGATGTGTGTTGACTGTTAGCAGTTCTCTTGAATCCTCGTCCACTTTGTCCTGGAGATCCCTCGGTCGATTTGGATTAAGATTTTGCAATCAGCCAACTTCGAAAAAATGTCCTATGGTAGAGGCAAGCTGAAGCTGCTCCAGTCGGTCTAGCTCCTGATTCACTGTTTCGTACATCGCGCAGGTTACTGGACACTATCCTTCATTGAGGGTGAACCGGATCTTCGCTTTCATACACATCCCCGGTGCGTTGGAAAATACCGAGGGAAAAGCCTGTAGAAACGTTCCATTGAGACTGACTACAGGTTGAATTTGTCGATGCCCAACAGATGCAACGGTTGTTTAAAGACTTAGAATCGACCGTCGTGGGTAACTACGCCTATCGAGACTTCACACGAAATATCCGATTCAAGCTTCAGTGGATGTCCGGATGCTGTAGAAGCATTGATTGTTGCTCGCTTCAACGGTGGCTGTCCGATCTCTTTCCAAGTCCTCTCCGAAACAACACTAATGTCGAACGCCGTATCGAGCTGAAGATTGATTAGCTACTCCCCTAACTGCACTGTCACGAACTTCCGCTGCTTTTTCACACTGCACACCAGAACGTCTTGGTTGCCACTGGTTTCGATTTCTTCCACTTCGAGGAGCGACTGAATTTCCTTGCGTTGGAACAATACCCTTCCCGATGGCCAAGCTGGCCGCAATCATTGCATAGTGCATGGAACCACATCGGATTTGACCAGTTTCGACGTTGAGTGCCCCATCTCCTGCTTGATCTGCTGCTTTCGAAAGGGCTGTTTACGTCGGAGCGCCTTGATGGATGCCGACGATCATAGCTGTATCGTGCTTGATCGTAAGAAGTCGTTGGCATTCGTCGGATATTGGCAACTGCTGTTTTCTTCGAAGCTCATTTTCGCTATCTCGAACCCGACGCAAAGAAGATTCTACCGGCAAGCGTACGTTTTGTAATCAAACCTCGTCAGGCTGCTTGACGAGCTGAAGGCAACAATTGGCGGTAGTTGATGCTGGTGGTTTCCTTCCGATGGATGTGTGCCGTTTGCCACAGGTTGGCCAAAATCTTCTCTCGGCGGGGGTGAAATCTTTCACTCGCGCTTCCGCGAAAAACCGATTTACTCATCGCCACTTTTACAGTCCGCGCGACTAGGTGACCGTAGCATCAGATTATGATTAACACGCGACACGAAAATACTGTCTAAATGACTTTTATTAACTAAGACAACTAATTATAATCACGGGGAAAACACGTTTTTTCTATTGTCATTGTCCAACTGAATAATGACGTTTACGCTGTCCTTCACCATCGACTGGTGACAGGGTGGTCTGCTAACAGTGAGCTCAGCTGGTCGATTAATTGTGCTGCGTGCGCTAGGGATGTCCATGGATCCCAACAGTTTTATTTAAACAAATGCAGCTCATATTATTCTTGGTCGTAGTTAAATGAGTGACAACAATTGTTGCTGCTGCTGCAATTGCGTTAAAACAAGAACCACAAATTAGTTTGTGTATTTGTTCTCACTGGAACTTTGCTGAGTTTTTCGGTACTTCGTTGAAGTTTTCGTGGCGCTTACTTCAAGCTCTTCAAAGTTCACTGAAGCTCTTGGACCTTAGCTAAAATTCGTCAAGCTTTTGAATTTTGATGAACCTCTTGATACTGGAAATTCATTGACATTTATGAAATTTCACTGAAACTCTTGGTTCTTCGATGAAGCTCTTAGACCGTCATTGCATTTCTTGTAGTTTGATTTTCCAAATTCTTAGAATATTGCTAAATTTATTGCAGCCTTACTGTAGACATAGGTTCTTGCACAAAAAGAGCACATATTCACTCAAAAATTAAAAAAATAAATAAATGCAATACCCCGCACGTAGGTCTGAATTTCACTTGGTCGAACGCCATTACTCCGAATGTCATTAGGTAATAAATTATAAAATTGTTAGCAGTCCTTCGGCTCCGTAGTGTTTTTTTTAGAGAGTTGAGGCTTACCCAAGGGGTATGTAAATCAGCATAGTGTGCCAAAAACACAGTAGGGCACACCATGGCTCACTCATTTGGCACCCATGGTACATATTTTTTGTGATCTCTAAAGTAACTGGCATCACTGCATTATTTCTGTGCATGCGCAGTGATGATGTGTCAAAATTTGATTGTTGACACAAACAATTTTCGGTATCCGCATTCCGCAACAAATAATTTCGCCGGAGCCTCCAACTCACCCTTACTGCTATGATCCGCAACCGGAGCAACGGAAGATGCCGACATGACGACGACCGGGTGGATTTATTATGAATCTTTGGAAGCCAACGCAGGAGTACAGACACTGCCACGGAATTGGGAAGACTTCCAGATGTTTCACGGATTTTGAAGCAAAACATTCACTAACATTGCCTGTTGTAGAGCTCTAGACATAGACACGCTATCCGGCACACCAACAGAACCACCAACGAGCCGAACCACTAGGAAGCATTTAACGCTCAACGTGGACTAGTTTAGGATTGATTCAAATAGAATCGCTGCTACTCCACCTCTAAACATTTTAACCTCAGTCCCCGGAATAAAAATCATTAAAAATGAATCCAAAAACATATTAATTAAATAGCAGTAAATCATTTTTTAAAGAAATTTTCTGACTTATTCGACATTGGACATGCTCATCCTCATCTTTACCACCGACATCATCCAATATCGAAAAGCTGTGCGGTGACGTGGACAGTCCCGTCTGGCTGGAGCAGATATTTGCATCTACGTAGCACTTCTACGGATTGATTTCGTTCGGTTAGCAGTGAACGATTTTGGGAAAATTGAACTGTGACGAATTGATTTCCTGCGTCATAAATTTCACCTCCAGTAGCTCCTTGTTAACGGATTTCCTCAACGTCTACGAATGGGTTCTCGAAGAACAACAACACGTACCACGATGGTAAATGACAGGTGGGCAGGAACTCACAGTCTCCCAGTGTTGGTGAGTTCTTTGCCGTTAATGTTCACGAAAAGGTCACTATTTTGCTATACAGGAATTCAAAAAAAAAAATTTTATCTGCGGATTTGAACAGTTTTTGACCTGTTTCATACTACCGGAAGGTGTATGCTGGTCACAAATGCCGTGCCAAACTGATTTCCTACTCAATTAATCAATCTTTGATGTGAAATTTGCTAATAAACACGAGGCGCATTTCTTATAGCAAACATGCCATAACAAAATGGGCATGGTTCATTTATGTAAACAAACTAACACTTCTTCCGACTGTGGCACCTATGTATTTCCCATCGTGGGAGTAGCGGTTGCCTACCAACACTTCCAGACTGCAGCACTCGGTCGTACCGTAGAAGGTAGAAAAAAGTTGCCCTTCCTGTACGAACGTCGCCGATCCGAAGTCAATCAGCTTGATATGGAAATGGTGATCGATGATAACGTCCTCATCTTTGATGTCCCGGTGCAGAATGTTCAATGAGTGCATTCCCAATGTTCCTCACCAGCGTGCAATGTTTACTGTACTCTCCGTGGATTAAATCTTCATCGCACTACGACATACGGGAGACGGAACTGGGCCGATCAGAGTGCGTTGACGTGACCATTGTCTTCGACAGCTCGTACGGTTTGATACAACAACAAAAACATTTGAATTGTCAAAATACCGGGTTGCCAAACATACAATTATTCACAAAAAAATCATGGCACTCTTGGTACAGCGCGGCACACTTGAAGCACACTGAGAAAAATGTTGGCGCAAAATAAGTGTGTAGAGTGACCACCCCTTGGGCTTACCAAATAAACGAAACGAAAAACGTTGTTTGTTTACGGTTCATTATTTTTTTGTCAAAGATTAATTCTGTCCCGTATACGCCAGTGATCCCGAGTATGTCAATAATGAAGCATTTTTTGGAACCTTAAAATGAAATTTTGTTGAATCTCGTAGCAGTGAACCTAATCGATATTCATTAATAAAATTCGTTCCATTTTAACTTTTCATTTTGGAGCCAAATCTGCTATTACATACTTACATCACATGACGGGGTAAGCGAGACGGTACTTCAGAAAAGGTAAATATTCAAACCGAATTGCCCCCGGCCGCAAATTCCCTTATCAAATTTGTTCAGAAGAATTTAAATTGATTTACATAAGCCAACCCGCATCCCGTCGGGATCCGTTGAAATTCGCCGCACTTCTATCGATAATCTACTTACCACCATCTGATAGATGGCATCGACGATGTTGTACATTTCGTCCCTCGTTATGAAACCATCATTGTCAACATCGTATAATCGGAACGCCCCTATGTGGAAGAGAGAAAGAGCAAAAAAAAAAAAGATAAGTGAAGAAGATACTGCAAGATAACATCCCGTATAATGGATGTATGCGAATAGAGCGGGATGGGGACGGGATGGTGCGGTGGCGGTGGATAGATGTGTCACTTTGAAGGGACGATACGTCGGATAAATGGGATCATGGCATGCTATATGTCAGACCTTGTGGCTTTTTGCGACTTTCTCAAGAAGGGTTGACACGGTCTTCATTCATTCACCATGAACAAGTGAACACAGACCACACTTTTCGCTTCGCCCCGGGGCGGACAAAATGGCTGATAAATTATTTAGTTTCAAATTTTCCTTCAGCCGCATAAAATAATTCAGAACAGCTGCACTCAAATCGCATCATCACAAATTTAAGTCGCTTTTGAATGGGGTCTATTCGGGCTTCGGGCACTCAATTTGTGAATAGCTGCTGAGTCTGCTCGGTTCGAATGCTAAATTGGCAAATATGGTTGAAGTGCCTTGAGTCTGTATCGGTCCGTTAGGATTTTACGCAAGAGCAGCCCTTTTTCCTGGGGGTGAATTCGGCAGGTGCATCGAATAGGAGAAATGTGTGCGGGAGCAAAGCAAATGGTCTTTAAACATTCATAATGATTGGTTTGAATGTGATTGGTTGCACTGAGAAGATTTGGATTCAACGGTCAACCATACTTACAATGTAGCTTCTCGTCCAGGTTTCCTCTCGATGTGATCGACAGTGCTCTGATGAATTCTTCAAATTCAATTGAACCGTCCTGTTGGTGGGAAGAAAAGAAGTAATGAAATTATTATTCAGGTGTTTTCAAAATTTCACCGATGACTGATTGGCAGCAGATACAAGTTTATATAGATACAGCACAGATAACAGACGTATATCTTCGGTGATAGATTTTGTAAAGTTTTGTAAATATGGCCATGGCCATGGTTTAATTATGTCAATTAATCCCTCCTTCCCCCATTCGACCGATTTTTCCTATACCTAATGCATTCCATGTCACAAAATCTTACACTCCCCCTCCCCACTTAGAGCGTGACATGATGTATGTATCAACCCTAATTTATATTGATAAACTCATAATATCTGTCGTTGCACCATCGCGTTCTGAAAAACGTTTGTATGTTGAGTACTCGGCGTTGACGTCGGTTGAGTGCAATTTGAATCTTAACACAAGTTTAATGGAAATGGCTCTCTGGTGTGGTTACACCCTGACCACGTCTCTGCCGAATAGAATACATATAGCAGGCAATGAAAACCGTGGCCCACTTTACTCACGTCACCGGAAATTACCCCGCAACCCCTCGTTCAAAACAGTCCTCACACAATCCCGGGGGAGAGGAAAAAAATAAAATTGCGTGACTCGGTCGATTGTTTTCCTTGTGCGTGGAGAATGTTTTATCGCATCCAGAAGCTTCTCCTGCTGGGGGAGTACCGGTCATCGACGACGAGTTCGAGCAACGGCGATGGCGATGGTGACGAAGATAGTGTCAAAATTTTGATCGAAAGCCCGTTTGCCCAAGTGGATCGCTGTGGCCGCGGCATCCGGGCGGTGCAGTTGGGTCTGGGCGAGCATTGGCTCTTCGTGGCCGTGGACGATTTTGAAGCGAACCCTCGGGTGGGCGTGTGGAAACCATGCCACGATCCGGAAGTCGATTGTCTGGAGCTGCTGTGTGCGCTGCCGTTGGATTTCGTGCGGTTGAAGGTGGAACGACACGGTGGCGGGCGGGAAGTGCTGCGGGTAACCCTGCTGACAGGTCGACGTTTGTACTTTGAGTTTGGCGGTGGTGGCATGCTGCGACCGCTGCTGGTTAATGTATGGCGGGACCGGATTCAGGAGTTACGGTTGAGGAGGGCAGACGGACGGAAGGAGAAAATTAACGACTGCGAAGCGACAACCTTGCTGCGCGAGAAACTACCGGAGCACCTGCGGCTTTTCTTGGAACAACAGAGCGATAGTTCTAGCATTAGCTCCAAGGCGTCGACAGACGTTGAATCGTGTATTTACGAGTGGGACCGCCGACACAGGACAAGGGAAAAGCGACGGCTGGCGAAAAGGATGGCCTCAATTCTGTCACGAAGCTGCGAAGAAATTCCAAATCCTTAGCATTCACTTTGTGAGAGGGGTGAGCAGGTGTACGGTGAGAAATAAATTGTGCAATTAGTGTTATTAAATTTTGTTTATTTATTTGCGTCAGTTTTGTTGTGGTTAAGGTGGTTGTTTGCCAGGATGGCGTGCATGCATGCAACAGATAGTTAGGAAAAGTTTCGCTAAGGAGGTGCGATTGGAGGAGAACAAAGAAATAATAGCACACTAGCACAAAGACCCATTACTGTAGTGTGATTAAACTATGTGTATAAAGAAGGCATTTTGAAAAGTTTCTTAGTCAGGGCACCAGTTTTCTGTTCTCTGTGACTTCAATGCACTTGTTGATTATGGGGAAAGGCCATGGAGAGAAGTCATTGAAATTTATAACCTGTGGAGCTGGCGTTAATTAACAACTTGGTTCTCTATCAATTCATGCATCAAGCGTACAACCAACAATCAATACGAAACTATCGATTTGAAATTGGCTCACTACTTGACTAGCCTTTTGGTCAAAAGCAAACGATTAAAGTATCCCATTCTAGTCGAAATTCTAGTACTACACTATGTTTGTTTTGATTCGCTATGAAAGTTTGACAGATAAAATGAGGGGTTCGTGGATTTTCCTATGTTTCGAGGGGTGCATCGATTAGCTTGGGACCGAAGATAGTACCAGAACTGAGCCAAAAAGATGAGCACGTTTCTTCGGGTCCTTCTGGCCTTAGAGTTACCTCTATGGTACAACCATAGAGGTAACTCTAAGACCACTGGGTCCCGAAGAAAATCATTATTATTTCTGGCTCACTCAGTACCAGAACAACGGTCCCAAGCAGTCCCAAGCTATTTCACTCACCCCTGCATGTTCTGCATGAATCCACACACCCCTGATGTTATCTGTCAAACTTTCATAGCGAATCAAAACAAACATAGTGTAGTAATAGAATTTCAACTAGAATAGGGTACGTTAATCGTTTGCTTGGGACCAATAGGCTACTAAAGTGGTGAGCCAATTTGAAATCGTTAGTTTCGTATTGATTGTTGGTACAACCATAGAGGTAACTCTAAGACTAGTAGGTCCCGAAGAAACGTGCTCAACTTTTTGGCTCAGCTGTGAAAGTAACCTCGGAATGGGCGTGACTCTCCAGACATTCTGAAATGGGTTGCTGGATCTGCAATAGAGCTATCACTTTCTAACAAAAATTGGCTTTCGGAACTCAGATTGCAGATAAACCTTGATTTGAGCAGAAAATTAGACATGCTGATAGGGCATATTTCATAGTATGCTTTGTCCAATATTTTTTTACCTCAATGTTTATAAACATATTGTGCTGTCATCTTGTACAATAGTGCCATGGAGTTGAGAAGTGATACGGAGAAGTGGTTGATCGGTCAGCCCATTACCAGGTTCACCGATAATTCCGAGTAACCGAGAAGTACTGCAGCTCTTCTTTTATCATCGCGCACAATCTCGCTCCACGATACGACAATGCTGCTGGAAGGTGGTTCAATTGGCAGAACAAGTTTGGGTCAGAGCTTGTATCCCATTCAACAAGTGGTTGCAAGCTCATACGAAGGTTTCGTGATCGCCAAAATCAATGGAATCTTTGTATGTAGTTGCTACGCACCCCCGAGATGGACAATTGAGCAGTTCCACCAGATGCTAGATGGGCTCACCGAAGAGCTCATTGGACGGAGACCAGTCGTCATCGCAGGAGACTTCAATGCTTGGGCAGTGGATTGGGGGAGCAGATGTACCAACGCAAGAGGGTATAGCCTGCTGGAAGCTCTGGCATAGTTGAACGTCAGTCTGGCCAACGAAGGAACCATCAGCACCTTCCGCAAAGATGGTAGGGAATCCATTATCGACGTTACTTTCTGCAGTACGTCGCTAATGGCAAATATGAACTGGACGGTGTGCGAGGAGTACACCCATAGTGACCATCAGGCGATCCGGTACAGTATCGGCGAACGAACACCGGTGGAAATGCGGAGGACGAAAGTAAGCGAGCGGAAGTGGAAGACGAAGGCATTCAATAAGGATCTCTTCATCGAAGCTCTAAGGGTAGACAACAGCGTCCCGGGCCTAAGCCCGAATGAGTTGACCGAATTATTAGCAAGGGCATGTGACACAACTATGCCGAGAAAACTGGAGCCAACGAACAGGCGGCGTCCAGCCTACTGGTGGAACGAGGAAATTAGCACCCTCCGTGCTACTTGTCTTCTAGCCAGAAGGCGTGCTCAGAGAGCAAGAACAGAAGCAGACAGAGAGGAGCGCAGGGTGGTGTTCCGAGAGGCCAGGGCTGCACTGAAACGAAAGATAAAGCTGAGCAAGTCAAATAGTTTCAAGGAGTTGTGCCGCGATGCCGATGCCAACCCCTGGGGCAACGCATACCGAGTTGCGATGGCGAAGATCAGAGGCCCAACGATGCCGGTTGAAATGTGTCACAACAAGCTGAAAGTCATCGTGGAGGGACTTTTCCCACAGCATGACCCAACGAACTGGCCACCTACACCATATGGCGAGGTAGATGAAGACAACGTTGAACAAGTCTCCAACGAGGAACTCATAGCAGCAGCGAAAGGGTTGAAAGCGAATAAAGCTCCCGGCCCGGATGGAATTCCCAACGTGGCGTTGAAGGCGGCGATCCAGACGTTCCCGGACATGTTCAGGATGGTGCTGCAGAAATGTCTGGACGATGGTCAGTTCCCTGATAGGTGGAAGGTACAAAAGCTTGTGCTGTTGCCGAAGCCCGGAAAACCGCCGGGGGATCCTGCATCGTATAGGCCAATATGCTTGCTGGATACTGTAGGAAAGCTCTTAGAGAGGATCATCCTCAACAGGCTGACGAAATGCACGGAGAGTGAACACGGATTGTCGGAGAGACAGTTTGGATTCCGGAAAGGGAGATCGACGGTGGATGCAATTCGGACAGTGATTGACAGAGCCGAGAAAGCTTCCAAACAGAAGCGGAGAGGAAATCGATACTGCGCCGTGATTACGATCGATGTCAAGAATGCATTCAATAGCGCCAGCTGGGAGGCCATCGCCAAGGCGCTCCATAGAATGAGGGTTCCAGGCTACCTCTGCAGGATTCTAAGTAGTTATTTCCAGAACCGGGTCCTTGTCTACGTGACAGACACGGGGCAGAAATCGCTTAGAATCACGGCGGGGGTTCCCCAAGGCTCCATTCTAGGTCCCACGCTGTGGAACGGAATGTACAATGGCGTGCTGACGCTCAAGCTGCCCAAAGGAGTTGAGATCGTTGGCTTTGCGGACGATGTCGTCTTGACGGTAACCGGTGAGACGCTGGAAGAAGTGGAAATGTTGGCGGCTGAGGCGATAGATACGATTGGTAACTGGATGCAAGGAGCGAAGCTGCAGATAGCCCACCACAAAACAGAAGTGATGTTGGTCAGTAACTGCAAAGCAGTGCAGCGGGCAGAAATTACCGTTGGAGAGCACACCATTGCTTCGAAGCGCATGCTTAAGTATCTGGGAGTGATGATCGACGACCGGCTAAACTTTAATAGCCACATCGAATATGCTTGCGAGAAGGCGACGAAGGTCATCAACGCAATAGCCAGAATCATGCCGAACAATTCTGGTCCAAGCAGCAGCAAGAGACGTCTTCTGGCTAGTGTTTCCTCATCAATACTAAGGTACGGAGGTCCAGCCTGGATTGAAGCGCTGAAAACGAAGCAGAACCAAAGGAAATTGAGCAGTACGTTCCGGCTCATGGCCATGCGAGTCGTGAGTGCGTACAGAACCATTTCGATGGAGGCAGTATGCGTTATCGCCGGTATGATCCCAATCGGCATCACCTTGGCGGAGGACTACGAGTGCTATATGACGAGAGAAACCAGAGGAGTACGAAAAATGGTGAGAACGGAGTCGATGGCTAAGTGGCAGCAGGAGTGGGATGCAGCAGAGAACGGTAGATGGACACACAGGCTAATACCGACTCTTTCGACCTGGGTGAACAGGAAGCATGGAGAAGCCAACTTCCACTTGACGCAGTTCCTGTCTGGTCATGGCTGCTTCAGGAAGTACCTGCATCGGTTCGGACACACAACGTCACCCTTCTGTCCGGAGTGTGGGAATGTGGAAGAATCACCAGAGCACGTGGTCTTCGAATGTCCTAGATTTGATGATGT